TCTGAGGACACACAGGTAGTGAGAGTGCAGGAGCCCAGGGTTCCATCCCAATCTGCAACTCCCAAGGCCCTGCAAAGGTGGCCAAACTGACCTCTACGGCACCCAGATCATCTCCCCCCTCCCCCCCAGCCCTGTAGATGCCTTTGCTGGCTTTAGGTGGTTCTTCCTGTAGATACATCAAGTACTCAGCTCAGCACTCGAGGCCCTGCACACTCTCCTAGTTTTTCTCCCTTTCCTCTTCCCTCTTATAAGCTCCCCCTGCCTTTCCTGGTCATGTCCTCGAATCTCCAAGTCCCTCTGCCAGCAACATCATCATTTACTCTTACACGCTGGGCAGATCCAACCAGTCCTCAGGCCCGAGAGCAAAAGCCCCCTCTGTCAGGAAGCCCTCCATGACCAGCTGCAGTTTTTCCCTCCTCCATGTCTCTCCTCCAGCCCTGCTCCGGCTCTGGCCAGAATTCGAGTTAGTTGCAGACTCCTCTTCCTCCCCATGGAGGCTGTGGGTCATCTGATTGCTTAGAGCTCGGCCACACAGACGGTGGCCAGCAGGGTGCCCTTGTCCAGGCTGATGCCCAGCACCCGAGTGGACCCAGGGGATGGAGGAGGGGGTAGCCGGAGCCACGGCTCACTCTTTCATCCTCTTCTCACTGGCCATGCTGCGTCCTGCACCCCCACTTCTGGCCACCAATAGACTTTATACTTGTGCTCCTTCCTGGCTCTGTGACCTTGGGCAGGGAAGTAACCTCCCTGTGCCCATTTCCTCCCCAGTAAAATGGGGGTAGTAACAGCACCTGCATTTCTTAGGGCGATGACACACTCTCTGGGAGGTACCAGACAGGTGACCTCTACCCAGGAATGCTCACTATTATTTCTGTCTGCACCTCATCCGGGGGCCAGCACATGAATTTGAGGGTCAGAGAGACTTCGGTTCCAACCACTTACTGCATATGTGATTGCGAGCTGGTGGCTCATTCCTCCAGGCCTCTATTTGCCCCATCTCTGAAATGGTACTAACTCCGCCCACACGAACCAAAGCAAGTCCGATCTCGGAACCTCTCTTTTGTTCAAGGCATGCAGTAGGCACTCCGATATTTCTCAACTAACGAATCAATGGTCCAGGTGTAAGGAATCCATCCCCCTTCCAGCCTCCTCCCCGCCCACCCCAGCCTCCAGAATCCCCTTCCCCACCCCCTGCCCGTGCAGACTAAAATAGTCATTAGGCAGATTTCAAAAGATGTCAGTAGCTTATAATTATAGTCGACATCCTTCTGAGATAAAAGTGATTACCTTGGATGCAAATCACTTAGCAACCAATCAGGGCGGTGGGCGGCGCCCGCGGAGGTGACCGGCCGGCGCGCAGCCCTCCGCCCGCAGTCCGCCCCGCACAGGCGGAGAAAGCGCACAATAGCTCTTGACACGCAAATGGGTTAACACAATAAAGGCGGCTCCGGCCGCTGCTGGGGGAGAGCAGCAATTCCCGGCCCGCGGGAGGTAATAAAGCGGCCCTTTTGTGCGCGCCTCCTCGTTCTCACCCCCGCCCCGAGCCCAGAGGAATCGCCGCCTGATTGAATTACGGTTCATGAATATGACCAGCTCCGCTCGCTTCCTCCGGTGTGCGAGGAACTGGAAGGTGGAGGGGGCCGGGAGAGGTTTGGAGCGGGGGAGTCTGGCCAGGCCACAGCCCCGTAGGAAGTCAGATGGGAGGGAGCCACGTGTGCTCACCACGTGGGGTGCCCTGCGTAGGTGAGTGGGAGACCCAGTCGAGGGCGGCTAGAAGGGTCCCTGCCTACCCTGAAGCCTTTGATCTTTGGCTCCAGGAGGGACAGGGAGAGCCATTCAAGGCCCTGTTCTGAGGATGAGGCTCAGAGAGGCAAAGCTAGTCACCCAAGGTCACACAGCCAACAAGGGTGGAACCATTCCATAGCCTGGCTCTTAACCATGAGCCACTGCCCACCAATGGGAGTTAAGCAACCCAGCCCAGGCCCTGGCCAGAGCAACTGTGAGGCTCAAAAGGGATAGGGGATGGGCAAGCTTACGAGCTTAGGTGGAATTAGACAAGTGATAAGGATTACTGGGGTGGGTGGGAGCTAACCTTGAGAGAGGAGACTGGCCAGGGTTACCATCCCTTTTAAGGGAGCCCTAACTGGATCCTCTCTCGGGCTTCAACCTCACCCAACCACCTAAGTCTCCAGGACACACCCACACCAGGGCCACCACTTCCCCTCATCCAGTACACCCCAGCACTCACAAGCCACACCCAATGCCCAGAACACTCTCTGCACTCCTCTGCCTGGTGGATCCCTATTGGTCCCAAGAGTCACAGTGCACCCCTCCTAGAGGGCCCTTGACAACATTCAGGCTGGTAAGGAGCCAGTCTACCAATGTTGCCATTGACCCATCTACATCCTTGACTTTTCACTAGCTGAGTGCCGACCTGGAGGGTCCCTGGGGTAAGTGAGTGCAGCCTCACCCCTCCTGTGGGGAGCCAGAGGGGCAGACGACAAGGAGCCCGGGGCCAGCTCTCTCAACCTTTCCCTTGGGCAGGTTTCATGCCCCACCTTCCTTCCCCCAGTGCTGGAGAAAGGGGTACTAGGGGTGAGGGGAGCAGGCCATCCACAAGGCCAGCGCAGAAGTTGCTACTCTGCTCAACAGTATCCTGTAAGTAATGGGGAAGCAGGATTCAAACCCAGGTTTCAGTGTGGGAAGGCATCTTGGTGAGGCCAGACTCCCTCCATAGCCGAAAGCCCCCCCCGCCGCCCCGGCTGACTCTTGCAGGGACCCTGTCCAACAAGTGGTATAAGGCCTCCCCTCCACCCGGGGGAGGGGGTGGGAAGATCTGGGGACTCTGGAGCCAAGGCACTTGGGAGCCAAACCCCTGCAGCTGCCTGGCTGAGCACCTGAGCCTGTTTCCTCATCTGTAAAATGGGCCACGACGGCGCATGAGCCACTCCAAGCGGGTCACTGAGATCCTCCTATACAATGCCTGGCACACAAGGAGACGCCGGGTAAGCTGGCATCCCCTCCTGCTCGTCGCCCGGTGCTATTGCCAAGCCCAGCGAAGGGAACAGAAGGAATTGCCCAATTCTGACAGCCTTTCCCTCCGCTTTGGCTGTGGAAGTGTAAATACTCCACGGAGAACCTCCAACTGCCTGTGTTTGTGGATCTCTGGCGCACACTCTGGGTTTGTTTCTAAACTGGGAAGCTTCGAGAGGCAGTGCAAACAGCCCTTCTGCCCACCTCTCCCACTTCTCCCCCCCATCTGCTGTTGCTCTGTCCTTGGAAGCCTGTGTGTTTAACGACACCATTTCAGCTGGAAATATCATCTCCCTGCCAAGCCCCCAAAAGCAGTTCCACTGATATTTATTGACCTGTTAATCTAGCTAGAGAGCCTGGTAGCAGAAGAGAAAAAATGCTGGCTGCATAGAGACTGGGGCCTGGCTTCTCATAATGACCCCCCACACACTTCCCTCTGCTCTCACCCCACCCCACAACGAAGCAGTGCCACAGTTCTCTAACCTTTACCTCCAAATGTGATCACAGCATTTTCACCCACATCCGACAATAGTACCAATTGCTGGAAGGAACTCAGAAGAGGAATCAAAGAATGCAGCAGCAGGATACTGGCTGGGGGTTCTCTGGGCCTTCACAAGGCACAGGGCCAGTACTGGGGGTGTGGGGAAGAGAGGGCTGGTGCTTGACTCCCATCAAAGCTGGTCCCTGGCAGGGACACACTTTTTTCAGACCTTGGCACTGACTTGCCCTCCGTTCGCTTAATGAGCACCACACTGTGCCTGTCAAAATCATCTTAAACAGCAAAAGGAAAAGAGTGGGGCAGACAGGAGTCCAGGGTTGGCCAAGGCCCTTCATCCTGGGGTTGTGCAGCAGGGGAACCCCTGGACTTGAGGGGTAGCAGGCAGCAGCTCCTCTGCACCTTCCCTGGCTGGGGGAGCACACACTCTTTCCTGAGCAGAAGTGGCCTCTTTTAAGGCGCGGGGGTGGGGAGGGCATGCGGGGGTACATCTCTCTAGGGACCCTGGGAACTTCAGTCTGCTGGTTGGGTGTATAGTGGGGTTCAAGGAGGTGTCCTCCATAGCATCCCTTTTGAAAGCATAAAGTTGCTCTGTTTGGCAGTCCTGAGCCCCCAGGCAGTGCCAGGCTATTTGGGCAAAGCTGAACACCTGTCCTTGGGGGGACAGCATCAGCAGGGACAGCTGGCCCTGCTTCCCTCCCCCACCTCATGGAAGAGCTGGGGATTTAGGTCAGAGGACTGCAGTTGAGGGTGGGGGGGGCGTGGAATCTGCCTTCACCCCTCCATTACCCAAAGACTTCCAGTCTCGCCCCTGGTTACCACAACCCCACCACCTCCGGCCCTGGGTCAAAGTAAGTCGCGTCGCCACGGCAACCCCAGTGACGTCAGAGGCCTGGAAGTGACGTCACGCTGTGGCCCCATTGGGGAACCCACCACCCCTGCGAGCTTTTTTGAGGAATGGGGGCTGTACGGGAGACCCTGCTATGATCTAGCCTTGGAGGACTCAATCCTCAAACGCAGCCACCTGCACGGCTGGGACTCCACATCCACCTCGGAGCTGATGTCCGCTGAGGATCTCAGAGGCTGCTTGGGAGCACCCCAAGGGTTCCATCCTGGGTGCCCTCCTCCTTGGCCCTCCAAGACGCGGGAGTTCCCAGGGAATTTTCGGATGACGGAGCTGCTACCTTTGTTGGCTTTAGGGGTGGGGTGACCTTTCCTCTCTGGCATACGCCTCAGCCTCGCCCGGGGCTCCGTGGAGTTCCCCAACAGGCCCCCAACCTCCACTCTGGCCGTTTGGCCGGTCTAGACAAGTTGTGTGTGAAAGGGAAAGGGTTGGGGGGAGACGAGAAGCACCGCCGCTTCAGGATTCCCAACAGCTCAGGGCCCCTTTATTTCCGATCCTGCCGCCTGCCGCCCCGACGCCAGGGAGTGCCCCCAGCTCCAGCCCGGAACCCCGCCCCGCGGAACTCACCAGATCAGCCAGGCCGTTGAAGGGCACCAGGTCTCAGCGGCGACGACTCTCCGCTCGCCGGGTCGCAGCCATGCAGAGGTGGCAGAGGCTGCCTGAGGGAGCCCCCCTTGGGGGCCGATGCCTCTCTCCGGGTGGAAAGGGACGCTGTCGGTGAGGGTGATCCAGGCTCCGACCCGCGCCGTCCGAAGTCGGGGGTGGCGGGTCTGTCCGCTCAGCGTGGGTCGTGCCCGCCCGGGACCTGGGCCGTGCGGGCGCTCAGGCGGCGCATCCTCGCCGGGGCCTGTGCTCACGGCGTCCGGCGGGCGGCGCTGCGCCTCCCCTCGGGGTCCCGCTCAGGGCTGCAGCTCGGCCCGCGCCGCTCCCCGGGGCGCCCTCTCCGCCCGCGCCAGGAGCCCGGCGGCCGCGGCCCCTCTCGCCGGCCCCAGCTGCAGCCTGTCTTTGTTGCTTGCTCTCGCTCGACCGCCCGCCCGCGGCTCGCAGCCCCCCGGTCCGCCTGGGGATGGGAGGGGGTCGTCTCCTCTGGGGTTGCACGCACCTGCAGCGGCCCCGGCTCCTCGCCGGGCATACACCGGCCCCCGCAGGTTGCAAAGAGAGGCGGTGAGAACGCACCGGCCCCTCCTCCTCCGAGCCCTGGGTGTGGGGGGAGGGGAAGCTGGAGAGCAGCGGCAGCCGCGGCGGCGGCAGCGGGCGGCGGAGGCTCGGATGCAGTCCCGGGGGCCTCTGCGCCGCGAAATAACCGGTCCGGGTGGCGCAGGGCGGACGTGGGAACGGTCCGGAGCACGGTACACCGGGCGTGCGAGCTCTCGAGCTGCAGCAGGGGCGGCGCGCGCCGGGCTCTCACGCGCCCATGGCCCCTGGCGGCGCGCAGGGGCTCCCAGGGCTCAGCCTCGCGCCGCCTGG